CAACATCCACAAATACTTCTGGTGAACCTAAAATACCTCCCCTGCCATGAGGGTTTCCCTCTACTTACAATCAGATTATCTGATCCTTTTGAATTCTGAAACATGTTACCTGTACCTCTTATGGAGCTCACCAGGTTCTATTTTGTTTCGCAAAAGGTATCCAAAAAGTGAGGAAACACAGAACTTGTTTTTGAATTGTATATTACATTTTCAAATAGTATGTTCCATATGTTTTCCTTCAGCCTCTATAAGCCTCTTCATGTGATGTACCTCACTTACCCTACATCTATGTGTGTTTTTTTTCTCCCTCTTCTAAGATCTGTAAGAGTAGAGACAGTACCTTCTTCACCCTTGTGTCCCGTCATCTCCAGCACAAAACAGGAAGACACGCCAGGCGTGGTGGCTCATGCCTGTAATCCCAGCATTTTGGGAGGCCGAGGCAGGCGGATCATGAGGTCACGAGACTGAGACCATCCTGGCCAACATAGTGAAACCCGTATCTACCAAAAATACAAAAATTAGCTGGGTGTGGTGATGGGCGCCTGTAGTACCAGCTACTAGGGAGGCTGAGGCAGAATTGCTTGAACCAGGGAGGCGGAGGTTGCAGTGAGCCAAGATTGCACCACTGCACTCCAGCCTGGTGACAGAATGAGACTCTGTTTCAAAAACAACAACAACAACAACAACAACAAACAAAACAGGAAGACACCTGCTACATACAGTACCTGAATATCTGGGCATCAGTTTTCTTCTTCAGGTATTTCACGCATTCTGTATACCCTATTATAAGATTTCCCAAGAACCATCATTTTTTGTGTGTTTTTTTTCCCTCAAAGATCAAACAATGCTCCACTCTTAGTGTGTACTTCATCAAATAAGAACTTATTAACTATCCAAAATAGTGGTTAAGTTACTCACATCCATCCAACACCTTTCTCACTGATATATGTCAACCCTGTTTAAAAAAACAAACAAAAAAACCCCAACATCTTAAACATATCAATCCTCACCATAAACCCGTAAGGGAGCACACAAAGATGGCTCCTACACACAAATGATCCACATGTAAAAGCTATTACCCTTTAGTACTGCTGCAAGCAAAGTTCATAAAACAAATTCCAAAAACAGAAATAAATACTATCCCAGATTACACATATGCACACTACGGAAGGCAGTGAGATAACCTGAATACAGGAACTTTTTTTAGGTTTCCTAAACATGATACAGAAGTTTATGACTAACAGATTCATGCTACAACATGGACGAACCTTAAAAATATGCTAAGTGAATGAGACACAAAAGGCCACATACTGTATGATTCCATTTATCTGAGATATCCAGAATAGGCACATTCAGAGACAGAAAGTAGATTAGTGGCTGCCAGGGCTGGGAGAAGGGGAAAATGGAGAGTAACAGCTAATGGGTATGGGGTTTCTTTTTGGCAATGATAAAAATATTCTGGAATTGGATGGCGATAATGGTCGTACCGTTTGGTGAATATACTAAAAACCACTCAACTGTACCCTTGATTAAGAGGGTGAACTTTATGACATGTAAGCTTTATTTCTATTTTTAAGGCGTGTTTTGAGTACACTGGCTGTTTTATCTACAAGAAAACTGTATTTAATGGGAATCTTATTTTGTAGTGTTGTTTTTTCAAACTGATCTAAACCGGCAGTTATAAACTGGCTCCTTACTAGTCCCTTTTTAAAACCAAAGCATTAATTGTTGTCAACAGTAGCTATCGACTTGTCAACGTTTACAAATACCTGTGGAGAGAGGTTTTGTCTAGCAATCTGGATTTCTGGCTTCCCAAAAAAAAAAAAAAAAAAAAAAATGGAGTTATAAAAATGCTAGGCACACCAGCACTGCAACAATGGCTTGGAGCTAGGCAGCACTAACATACTTGCTCCTATTTGCCATGATGTCCACTACTCCCTATTGTCTTTTAAACACTGAAGACTAATGTCAATTACCGTTTAGCTTACTGGCTGTGAGTCTGTGATCCCTAAACAATGATCTTCTACCCTTCTTATTAGGCTGTACTGATGGTAAATTAAAATGTAATAATGGATGGTTACATTTTAACAAACCAACTGCAAGAATAAAAACTGTAACACTGATATCTGTTAGAAAAAAACCCTGCAATTGTCACAAATTTATTCAAACTAAAGTGAAATTCAAGGAAAAAATGTGTCCATTCCTATAAACAGAAAACAAATTATTTTCGGTTTACAATTAAAAATCATTTTCATCTACTCATAGTCAGAAAGTAAGGCAGTAATAACTTCCTACCCCCATAATTAGGTGGTGGCACAAAATGAGAGAAAATTATCTTATTCAAATTGATCGGCTTTATAAGAACAAATTGTTTTACTTACTGATTTTGTTTTAACCATCTAGAACCCTCCTGATGCTTAAATGCACAAAGAAAAACAACTCTTTTGCATTTGTAGCTTATACGTATTAAACTGTATTTTACAAAGCCAGAAGAAAACAAAATACGAGGTGAATAGCGAAATAGACCTAGAAAAGTACATTCTACTACTTCCTATGTCAAGTGTATATAAGGCTTTTGAGCTAAAAGCTATGGCAAGTACCATCCAGCTTTAGAAGTCTATATGTCCTTATCTGTATCTTCTCCATTACTCCAAATAAAATAATCTAGCTGACCTGCTTTTCCTGTAGATGGGAAAGTATAAGAGTATTTGCTTTCCATTTCATTTTTACCATCATTTCCAATGGCTAATAAAACATCAACATATAAGATGACCTCTAAAAACAGCTATTCCCTTTAAATTAGGCAAAACCAAACTTATTTCTCAAAGTCTTCCAAAAGAGAGACCAGATGAGCCAATTACTTAGTAGTTTAGAGGTAAACCTCAATGTTCTTTCTCCCCAAACCATTAAGCTTACAGGTGACTTTTTTTATTTTTTGGGGCGACGGAGTCTCGCTCTGTCACCCAGGCTGGAGTGCAGTGGCACGACCTCTGCTCACTGCAACCTCCGTCTCCTGGGTTCAATCGATTCTCCTGCTGCAGCCTCCAGAGTAGCTGGGATTACAGGTGTGCGCCACTACACCCGACTAATTTTTGTATTTTCAAGAGAAACGAGGTTTCACCATGTTGGCCAGGCTGGTCTTGAACTCCTGACCTCAAGTGATCCGCCCGCCTCGGCTTCCCAAAGTGTTGGGATTACAGGTGTGTGAGCCACCATGTCTGTCCACAAGTGGCATTTTAAAGCTCAATATTACCACTGAATATTAATGGATATACATAAGACTGGAATGGCATCACAATTTTCTCACAACTGCAATTTCAAAATAAAATCCAGTTGCACCTTTGCTTAACACAATCCTGTTTCTGTTAAAACCCGATGGTGAATCAAATATGAGGCTCTCCTAAAAGTTCACCAAATTTCTAATGCACACAGTAATCTAAATCACAACAACAACTTTTTCAAAAATGCAGGACTAGAAACAAAGGAAAACATCGATCAGTCATTACTTCAACCACTAACAATGGAAGCACAAAGTGCGGTACTGGAAAACCCAGACCTCGAGTTTCACACTGTTAACAGTGTAAGATGCACGGCCTGTACTGGAATTAGCAGAAATGGTTTCTGCTATAACTGTGCTTTACCTGCCATTCTCTTAACACTGCTGTCCAGTAGAACTATCTGAAATGAGATAAATGTTCTATGTCTGTCCTATTCAATACAATAGCCAATAGCTACACGTGGCTACTGAGCACTTAAAATGTGGCTAGCAAAACTAAGGAACTTGGTTTAATTTTAATTAAATTGCTACATGTGGCTAGTGGCTCTCTTATAGGACAGAACAGTTGTATAATTTGAAATACAAGGTATAAACTGCATTGACTAAACTGTAGAGTTTTTCAAAGTATCGTGCCCCGATGTTAACACCAGGCAAGACCATTCCGATACCAAATGATACATAAGGTCAGCGATCAGCCTAAACATAAAATAAAATTCACTTATGAAATGAGAATTCTTGATATTACTTAGAGTCAGAATTGAAGGTGCAATATTTACTAAGTAATATAAAAAATACGTCTCAGGTTCTTCCCCAGTGTTTTTGCAAACAGGGTGCTCACTTTCAAAATAGTTTCCCAAAACATGCAAATTATTTTCCCTTCAAATCTGTTCAACATCTTCCGTTCAGGAAAACAAATGGCAAAAATAAGTTCTCAACACTAGTAAGTGTGCTGTGACAAATCAATGTGTAAATGTCACACATTAATTTTCCTTTTCCTTAAAAGAGGGTAAAAATGTTTGGCAGCGTCTGGATCTTTCAAAAGCCTTATTACCCGTCTTTCCAAATGTTTAGGTGTACCAATCATTCAGATACAGTTGCGATTTCGTTACTGGATACAAAGTAGTTTTTTAGTTCCAGAGAGTTACAAGTCTTTTTGGCACAGGTATTCTTTGACCAGCTCTTCCTAAGTCAAGAAAAGTAACAAGATGGTGCACAAAATGTCAAAAGAAAACAAGTCTGGAAACTTGAATTGAGTAACTAGTGGCTAAGCGGAATCAATTGCCTTTAACCCGGAGAGAGAGTCCCTCGCACTACTCAGCCAAGCAAACAGAACAAGGTCGTGACCCTGGGTCACGGCCGCCAGCACCGCTCCCGCCCGGCAGCGGGAAGCCACCTGTTAGGCCCGAGCCTCACCTGGCAGGAAAGAGGAAGCGCTTGCCCGGCAGCTCGCCCGACGCGAGGGCGCTGAGCGTGGAACCCGCCCCTCTTGCTGCAGCGGCTAGACCCCCGGCGGCACGTGGGCTTCACCCGGGCCCCGGCGGCTCTGACAGGCGGGTCGCCCGCGGACCCCGGCCAGCCGCCTCGCGCCGGTCCCCGGGTCAGGACCCCCGTTTCCCTCGCAACCACCCCGCCGAGCGGGCGCCCAGGCGGCCCACCCCGCTGGTCCGCCCTGCTTCCTTTCCTTCCCGGACGGCGCGATCCCGCCCTGCAGCCCCTCACCTACCTGGTCGCGGAGTTTGAGGAACGCCATGGCGGTCGCCTCCGCGCCCACTCCAGCCTCCGCCGCCGCCTCCGCCGCCGCCGCCGCCCGGCCCACCGCTCCCGCCCTAGTAGCCTTGGCCGCTGCCCGGGACCAGCGGGTCGGCGGCCGACTGCGCTGAGAAGACCGCGGGCAGGGGGCGGCACCGCCTCCCCGGCCGCCCGCCGCCGCCGCCGCCGCCGAGAGGTGAGAAGCTCGGCCGGTCCCGCCTCCTCCTCTGAGGACTCCCCGCCCTCTTCCTTCCTTTCTTTCTCCTTCCCTCTGCTGCCTCCCCGAGCAGCCCTACCCGCCGCTGCCGCCGCCGCCTCCTCACGCCCCCTTCCCGAAATACCCTGGCAGCCCCCGCGGCCGCGCCGTTCCAGCCCGCGGCAGCGGCGGCATCCAAACTCCACAATATTACCACCACCGCCCGCCGCGATTGGCGGCCGCGCGGGGGAGAGGCCAGAGTAAGCCGAGCGCCCATTGGCCACGCCGCCGCGCTTGCTGGTGCCCCCCCGCCTCCCGCGGAGGGAGGGGCGGGCGGAGGAAGCCGCAAGGGTGGGCGCGGAGCCGCGGCGCGGGCGGGGCGGGGGAGTCGGCAGGGGCGCGGGCCGGGGAAGGGCGGCCAGGTGTCCCGGCTCCCAGGCGCGCGCCTCAGGCGTGGTGGGCGGAGCCCGGGGCGGAGGTGGCGGCGGGAGGTGGGGAACGGCCCCGGACTCGCACGTGGAGGTGGAGCGCGGACGCCTCCCTCTGCCAGGGCAAGACTAAGGAGCTGGGTGAGGGACCGGAAGGGCTGGAAGGGGTGGGCACCTGGGGGCTGCGGCGAGTGGCGATGGGTGAGCTGGACTTGCACGTGGAGGCAGCGTGAGAATGCGCCCCTGGGTTTGGAGAGGGTGGGGAGCCAAGGAATGGGATGAGAGGTGGTCACGGAATGGGGGGCGCTGCTGTACCCCACGGGGGCTGCAGACCGAGACCGGGTGAGGGGCGGGGGTGATGCTGGCACTCTGGACGGAAGGGCGTCGTCTTCGCAGCCGAACAGGTTGTGGACGCCCAATCCTTTTTCTACCCGCAGTCCCAATCTGAAGCTAAGCTATGTGGTTTTCCCTTGAAAGCTCCCCAGCCAGGCTTGCTGCCTCCACCCCCTTCTTTCGCATCTGAAGGATTTTGCCTCCCACTCGACAGAAATCAATTTTCTTAAACATAAAAAAAAAAAAAGATGTGCAGGATTTCTAATAAATAGCATCCTTGGATGGAGGAGAAGAGGAATGACTCCCTCACCCTGCCACACACACCCCCACGCCACCTCGCAGCTCTGAAACGGCTTTTCTTTCTTAGGCAGCCGCACGCTGTTGCCATTCCAGGCTCGTGTGGGAGAAGATTGTTGTGCGCCTGGGTCTGTCCGCCCGGGCGGCTCCAGCCTCTGGTTTATACAAGGTGCAGATGGTTAAAACACAAACGTATGACGTCAGGCTCGGTTTTTAAAAGTCCCTTCTACCCCCTACATCAGTTGTGTCTCTTGGGATGGACTTTATTTAGAAAATCGATTCGAGCCTAATGGCAGCCTAGAGAAATGGAGATCTTCGTCGGGACTGTCAGATTATTGTAATGCTGCACTTACAACACAAAACTTAGCTTTAGCCGCGCAAAAAAAAAAAAAAAAAAAAAAAATGAAAATAGAGTGCAAGATCAAAAACACACCTGGTTAACTGATAGTACGACGCTTCCAATTTTCTTTGACATATCCATGCCATGGTTCCATTGAAACAATTTCTTACCTAAAATTATGTCCCTCGTCGTGATATTTTCTACTTAAAATGGAGGAATTCTCATAACTGATCTAACCGTCATAATGAGGCTAAAAAGGAAATCAAACTGCTCTTGCTTTGCATTCTCTTCAGTAGCTCCTTTCCCCTTTATTTCAACTCCAGCAGATAAAATAGAGATACTATTTGTCACCCAACCCCTCCTTATCAGTTCATTGAGGATGAATGAGTTAATGTCGTGAAAGCATTTGAGTTCTCCAAAACAAAGGTGTTGTGATAATATTACTAGAGTACTTTGTGACTACAAATTAGCTTTGTGAATAATTACCCATGTGCCATATCCAATCGAGTTCTATCTTAGTCTAGGAGTGTTAGGATTTACCCTCATTTATGAGTAAGCCTGTTAAGCACTATGGATGTTGAGCCAGGAATTAATATATCCCTCCTCTTTCCCCCAAATAATCTCTCCTCTAGGTTAAAGTTCTAGAATTTAAAAACACAATGAGAACCTGATTAGGAACATGGCAAAGATGATTTTTTGGGAGAATGTAAGTGTGTTTGAGAGTATGAATTTATGGACTGAATATGCATTTTAATAGATTTTGTGATTGAAGCTAATGAAACTTAGAAGGGCTCTTTTGAAATTTTCTAATTAACAGTAATCAATGAAAATGTTTTATGATGCACCATCTGCGTTATAGTAGGTATGGAGCTCTCCTTATAGATGATGCTTCACACGTCGCTAGGTTCTCACCCTTCTGCACCATGAACACCGTCGCTGGGTTCTCACCCTTCTGCACCATGAACACCGTTTAACTTCTCTTGTGTCTCAGTTTCAACGTTCGTAAAAAACTAAGCTTAACATTTCCTGGTGTACTCATCTTACACCGTCAGATAAGATAATGATATTAAAGGCTATATTATTATGACAGCAACTACAGGGTACTTCAAAAAGTTTGTGGGAAAAAGAAAGGTTAAAATTAAAATGTAAACTTTATTTCTCAACATAAGATTTGTCAAGTTCAAGATGATAAGCAATGATACCAACCATTTAGTTCATCCTTAAAGAACTGAGGGTCCTGGGAATTTAACCATGTCAATGCAGTCTTTTTTATATTAATAATGTAATATTAATAACAGAAGAAAAATGCATGCCTTTTAAAGAATTGTTAAGATTAGGAAACAAAAATAAGTCAGAAGGAGCCAAATTAGGAGTATGAGGTGGATGCCTAACGGTTTTCCATCAAAATCCCAACAAAATTGCCCTTATTTGATGAGAGGAATGAGCAGGAGCAGTATTATGTTGGAGAAGGACTCTTTAGTGAAGCTTTATCGAGCATTTTCCTGCTAAAGCTTTGTCTAACTTTCTCAAAAACACTTTCATAATAAGCAGATGTTATTGTTCATTGTCCTGCTATAAAGTCAAGCAAAATGTGTTGAACATCCCAAAAGACTGTTGTCATGACGTTTGTTCTTGACTGATCTGCTTTTGCTTTGGCTGGACCCTTCCACCTCTTGGTAGCCATTGCTTTGATTGTGCTTTGTCTTCAGGATCATAATGGTAGGGCCATGTTTCCTCTGTTAAAATTATTTGAAGGAGTGTAGGAGTGTTTTAGGGTCTCGACCCTACTCATTTAAAATTTGTTGAAAGCCTTTCTCTTGCCTGAAACTGATCGGGGCCCAGTGGTTTGGGTACCCATTTAGTTGAAAGTTTGGTGAACTTTAATTTTTCAGTCAGAATTATGTAAGCTGAACCAATTGAGATGTCTGTGGTGTTGGCTCTTCTTTAATTAGGGTACAAACAAGATATTTTCCTCACAAATTGATGTGGTCTGCCACTGTGGGGTTTATGTTTGATATTGTCTTGTCCCTTCTTCAAATTAGTTATCCATTTGTAAACTGCTTATTTTTTGGGGGGGGGGGGGTGAGCATTGTCCCCAAAAACTATTCATAAAGCATCAGTGATTTCCCCATTCTGCCACCCAAGCTTCACCATTAATTTGATGTTTGTTCTTGCCTCAATTTTAACAGATTCATGTTGTTCTGATAGGGGCTCTTTTCAAACTGATGGCTTATCCTTCTTAGTGCTGCAGACTGTATCCTGTTCAGATACATTGTAACAAGTTAATATTAAGTTTATGTTGGTGGAAAAAAATTGAAATCCAGCAAGACGCAGTGACTCATGGCTGTAATCCCAGCACTTTGGAAGGCCAAGACAGGTGGATCACTTGAGCCTGGGAGTTTGAGAACAGCCTGGCCAATGTGGCCAAAGCCTGTTTCTACTAAAAATACAAAAATTAGCCAGGTGTGGTGGCGCGTGCCTGTAATACCAATAATTTGGGTGGCTGAGGCACAAGAATCACTTGAGCCTGGAGGCAGAAGTTGCAGTGAGCCAAGATGGCATCACTGCACTCCAATCTGGGCAATGGAGCAAGACTCTGTCTCAAAAAGGAAAAAAAAAAAGGAATAATTAAAATCCATGCATATTTTTTCATAATATGCATTTCCCATGAACTTTTTGAACACCCCTTGTACATTTTCATAGCTGCTGAAAAAAATAGGAAAAAAAGTCTATACAACCAGGTGTAGTAGCTCATGCCTGTGATTCCAGCACTTTGGGAGGCCAAGGTGGGCAGATAACTTGAGGCCAGGAGTTTGAGACCAGCCTGGCCAACATGGTGAAACCCTATCTCTACTAAAAATACAAAAATGAACTGGGTGTGGTGGCTCATGCCTGTAATCCTAGCACTTTGGGAGGCCGAGGCTGGCAGAACGCTTGAGGTCAGGAGTTCAAGACCAGCCTGGCTGACAAGGCAAAACCCCCTGTCTACTAAAAGTACAAAAATTAGTTGGGTGTGGTGGCACATGCCTGCCTGTAATCCCAACTGAAGGCTGAGGAAGAAGAATCACTTGAACCCAGGAAGTGGAGGTTGCAGTGAGCCGAGAGAAACAGATGAAAGGGTTGAATGCCATAAAATCAATAAGCTTGATATTATGTGAGAATATATGCACACACACATATGTAATCAGTAGTTCACACCACTCCCTCAAGACACTAAGTCCAGCCATCTTAGAGGTGAATTTTACCAAACGTGACCTTTTCTTTGTTTTGTTTCACAAATAGAAGCTAACATCAACTGTGTTAACACCAAGATTCCTGATGTAGCAAATGCTTCTCAGATACCTTTTATTTCAGCCCAACCCTCTGACATCCAGGTACAATTATTTTAAAAATAGGGCCATTCAGAACCATTTCATTTATTCAAAAGCTTTTTCAAGAGGATCTCTGCTTAAGTACTACAAGTATCTCTCTGCTGCTGACATCTTTTCTCTGGTTGAAGTCGATGAAAAATATAAATAATAGACTACGTAAGAATAATATGCAACAATTGTATACATAGTATAATATAAACTCTAAAAAATAAACAAAAACAAGCAAACATCTATGAATAGGAAAAAACTAAAGACCAGAAGACAGTATACCGTAATATTAAATGAAATTATGTTTGACAGAAGTATGAGTCATTTCTTCATTTATCTGTATTTTGCACTATTAGTGAGAAATCATTAGTTTCCAAATATGTTGACATTTTATATAAACTTAAATTTTAATAATTATATTGCCACATTGGAATAAAAAAAGACATGACACACAATGAAAATAACCATCAGAATGGTGAAAGAAATTCTCACTGTATCAATAACATTGGTTATTAATGAACTAGACATCTC